TCATGATTCCGAGTTGATTTTGACTAGTTGAACTAACACAACTAATTCAATAATGGAATTTGAAGATATTAGCTTAACCATGAACAAGATTTCCCATTGTATGTAATGAGGAAGACAACTCCCATGATTTCACACTCAGTCACAGCAGCATCATACTATGTTTTTGATATACTATGTAATAGATATATTGTGCCTTTAAAAGTGTATTTTATGTTTTCTTCCTTTAAACTAAAAAAAAAAAAAAAACCTTTATGAAAAGCCATAAAGCCAAAAATCTCAAAACTGACTAGTGTAGAGCCCTGCTTTAAATTCTTCTGCAGCATGGTCCACTCATGTGCCAGACAAAATTCTGCAAAGCAGAGCAGTTGAGTCCACACTTACGCCCACCTCACCATTCTACGACTCCCACGTCTGTTCTGATAAATGGTGATCCAAGTCAAACTTCTCACACTAGCACTCGACTCAGTGTACTTGTCATTATTATAGATGGGCTCTATTTGGTTCCATCAGTGCTGGTGGCGCACAGAGAGGGGAAAGAGTTTCGTGTGGAAGCCGAGTAAATTATTTGTGCTCCACAGAGGGGGGAAATGGGTTAATATTTTAACCATACTTGACATCCTCTCATCAGGGAATTGGTCTCATTTTTTGTTGAAGTTTGAAAATGTAAAAAAAAAAAAAGATATACAGTCTGCTAGCTGCTCCATATATCACTGTAAAATAAAAAAGCTACAGCAGTAAACAAAACCGCAGACCTCTGAAAAAGAAAATAAGGTCTTGTCTCTGAGGCCATTATGTAATGCCTATAGCCTTGCTTCAAACACAAAAAGAACATTATTTTATCACTACTTTTTTAACTTTAAGTTTAGAGATGGGAACACACTATAAACTTCAGCATTACTCCAGGCTTCAGTGTCACGAGTGCCTGAAATTCAAGTATTCAAATACAATAAATAATGCGGGAACCCTGTATGTTATTTCATACTACCAAAATGTATAATTTCATACTACTTTTTAACCAAATAAATTAAAAACATCAAAGTTGACAAAAAAAAAAAAATGATAGTCCCACAATGCAGCTAGAAAACATGAAAAAAAAAAATCATGAACCATAAATATTTCTCTTAAAATATACAATACTATAACAATTAATAATTACACTCACCGGCCACTTTATTAGGTACACTTACTAGTATTGGGTTGGACCCTCTTTTGCCTTCAAAACTGTCTTAATCTTACTTGCATAGATTAAACAAGGTACTGGAAAAATTCCTCAAAGATTTTGGTCCATATTGAGATGATAACATCACGCAGTTGTGGCAGATTTGTCGGCTGCACATGCATGATTAGAATCCCCCTTTCCACCACATCCCAAAGGTGCTCTATTAGATTGAGATCCGGTTACTGTGGAGGCCGTTTGAGTACAGTGAACTCGTGTCATGTTCAGCCATCAGAAGTTGGGTACACTGTGGTCATAAAGGGATGGACATAGTCAGCAGCAATACTCAGGTAGACAGTATCATTGACACGATGATCAATTGGTACTAATGGGCCTGTCTACATGCCTGAATGCACTGAGTTGCTGCCATGTGATTCGCTGATAAGAAATTCGTGTTAAAGAGCAGTTGGACAGGTGTACCTAATAAAGTGGCCAGTAAGTGCAGCTTCATAAGATTAGATTAGACACGGCTCATTTTTTATTAATTATTTAGTACTGTGGAGTGAATGTAAACGTGTTATGTGAAAAAAATCCCCCCCAAAAAAATTAAAGATCCCTCTTATTTTGGTACAATTACTAACACCAGCATCTTTATCTCTCTTTTTTCCTTCAGTACAGTAGATTAGTGCTGTAAACACATACTTGCTATAGTTTATGATCTGTAAAGTGTAGAAGTAAACACATTTAATTGCTGTCGTGTCTGTGTTTTGACATGGAAACTGACTGATTGGGCAGGTGGCTGATCTGGTACAAACATTCCCTTCTGCTTAACCTCTGACCTCCACTTAATCACTTCTGTGCTCCCTCTACTGTATAAAAGCTACATGACCTCAAGCCGTACTGCCATGAAATGTTTAAAAGCTGCGGCCCGCTATTTAAAAGGCTCACTTTGTTGTTAGTGTCCCTGATCCCTAAGCAGTAAAGATAAAATGGTCTAAAGAGGCTATGAGTGATGTTGTTGAAAGCTGCAAATGCCTTTGAAACCAAATCCTCCTCAACAAGGGCCATGAAAGAAGAGTCTATGGGGAAATGCAGGAATGGAGCCTACTGTTCTGTCAGATAAAATATTTTTGTTTCATTCAAGTCTCTTTCCCCAATTCCCTCAAATTGCCATTTCTTCCACATGGCTAAAGCTGTATTTTGCATTTTAAATAAGCATTTTAGATGCCCAAAAACAAGCTGTCAAGACAACATGCTTCACAATTTCACTTTAATATTTAGTGGCAGTTCGCCGTGCCTCCAACAAATCTGATTCACAGGATGGCACTGGAACTGCACATAAATGACAGCTTTGATGATATGATTAAAAATATTAGATTTGCATTAGCTGCAAGCCCCTTTCTTTGCTGATGCTGTTCCATCAATGAAAAGGATGGGAATTAAACTAATAAGGTAAAATTCTGTCCTGCAAAAAATAATTAATGTAATTGTTTTGCAGGGAGGGGTTGGTAGAGTACATCAATCATGGAGATCAATATGACTGATAAATAGTGCTGCTGCATATGATAAGAAAACACTACTGTCTCTGCATTCATAATAAGCAGCACTGGACAGCAATACATCATTCTGTCAACCCTATTTACATGCAAACAACGCCACGATCATTTCATCTACATTATTAAAACGAGAAGTGTCAAGGCTGACCAGATTAGCAGGATTGTAGCACTACTTTAAAATATACTTATATGGGACCAACAAATACATCCCAGCAGGCACACAATATTAGGTTAGGTTCAGATCATGACGTCAGGTGACCAAAATTAAATGTTTAGCCAGCATCTAAGGACAAGGTTATTTTAACGTCCAAAATTAATGTCAAATTACATTGATATTTCGTTGATTTTAGGTTGTGTTGGAAAGTGACCAAAAATCCAACGTCTGATATATATATAAAAAAAAAAAAAAATATATATATATATATATATATATATATATATATATATATATATATATATATATATATATATATATATATATATATACTTCGTCAAGGTGTTACATGATTACACTTTGATATTTGGTTGATTTTAGGTTGGACATTGACATCAACCTAACGTTGGATTTTGACGTCAACCCAATTTTCATTTCCAAACAAAATCCAACATCATCACGATGTTGGGGTGTATTGGGGTACAACATCAACATGATGTCATATAACCTGATGATATTTATGAGAAAATTCTATTTGATCACTCAAATTATTAGCATGATATCTGCACACTTCATGTTAGCGTGTAATTGTAAAAATTACACTCTGCATTAGGGACTGATTTAGGGGAAATAGTATGTTATCCCGTATTCAACTGTTTCCTCCAGGTACTTCGGTTTATCTAAGTCCAAAGACATGCGCTATAGGTGAATTGGGTAAGCTAAATTGTACATAGTCAGGGATGGCAAAAATACATTAAAATGTATTTTAAAACAAAATGCCAAATACATCAATTTTACATGTATCAAAATTAACTACAAAATACAGCAGCTACAAATGGATCAAAATAAAATACTGTCTTTTAAAAATACTACAAAATACTTTTACAAGGGAGCATGACCTGGCAAACCTTCCGTCAATAGGCATATTTGATCAATCCCTTCACCTTTAAACTGACTTAGTGAAGTGAACAAGTCTCTGAGAAAGTTTCAGTCAGCTTCTTTGCAACTCGTTCACCTCTTCTCCTGTACATGCTATTCACGAACTTTTTGTTTCTCTTTTATTTAAGTATACATTTTGTACACATTTCATACAGAAAGTCCTTTCTTGAAGATGAACTCTTTAATCATTGTAAAAACCATGTAATTCAGATAATGAGTTAGAATAGTACTACTGTATATTTCTTTATTGTGTTTTCATCCATTGCGTTGACACAATTTCTTAACAGTCTTATCTTTAAAAATAGTTATGTATTCATTCATTTTCCTTTGGCTTAGTCCCTTTATTCTTCAGGAGTCGCCACACTGGAAGGAACCACCAACTTATTCAGCATATGTTTTATGCAGCTGATTGCCTTCCTGCCGCAACCCAGCAATGGGAAAGACCCATACACATTCACACACTCATACAACAATTTAGCTTATCCCAATTTACCTATAGCACATGTGTTTGGACTGTGGGGGAACACCCAGAGGAAACCCACGCCAACACTGCAACAACATGCTAACTCCACACAGAAATGCCGACTGACCCAGTCTGTACTCGAACCAGCAACCTTCTTGCTGTAAGGTGAGATTGCTTAGCCACCGTGCTGCAGGGTAATATCTCAAGCCTAGGCAAATAACTTGGGAAGCATCAATCTGAGGCCGCATTACTATGAAGTCATCATGTAGACTTCTTACAAAGCATTTTACAGTATTTTAAAATACAAAAATAAAGACACTAATGCATTTTGATAAAAATACTAACCCATCTTCATAAACCTTATCAAATACAAATTACAAAATACTATTGTGTATTTAAAATACATATTTGAAATGCATGTATAATAAATACTGCCCATCCCTGTTCATGTTCCAGGTTGGGGCTCGAGCATTGTGCTAATGACCCACCTCAAAAAAAAAAAAAAATAGATGCTACAAAACACCAATAAGGTGCAGCTAAATATCAACTTCAGTATAAACAGCCCTGTGGTTATGTTTGGTTTTATACTACTTGTGTAACAAATCTGGTACAGATTTTCTTCCAAAGTTATAACATGCAAATTCGAGACACTGATTAATAAAAAGAGTAATCTTCCCATTAATCTTCAACACCACAACACCACACAGCTAATACATCACACATACAGCAACATTATTTTCAGATACTTTACATTTTATTTTGACAGTAAGATACATCTTTTCTATTCTTACTGTTTTACTGCTTTATTTTTTTCTTTATCTTCTTACCAAATGGACCCTCACAATGGGCAAATAACATCTGAAAGAATTAAAATGTGCTCTCCCAGTCTGACCAGCTAAAAAAAAGTGCAACTCTCGAAAACAAGCCAAAATAGCAGCCTGGGAAAGCAGGAGGGGGAATGTTGCAGTTCACAGACTCCAGTGTTTTGTTAGTAATCCTGCTCTCTCGCTTCATTCATTACATCTACTAAGCAGTAAAAACTCACATTGGAATGCCACGCATGATTAAGTAAACAGTACACACAGTGATGTGTATTTTCATAGATCAACATCTAGCAACTACAAATGGAAACACCTGAACTCGCACATGACATGTCTACATGATTTCTGTGCACAGTTTAATATGTTTGTAAACGACATCAATCCTGCTCTGCAATGTGAGCGCGTGCTCCTCAGACAGAGAGCCCAGCTCGCGCGCCAGCGGCTCCCTCGCGCGGTACAGTTCATACAGCAGCTTTGCGCTGTTTCCAGAGCGCTTCAGTTCAGACACACGCCGGACTGTACTTCTCCGAAACATACAGGACGAGCTCAGCAGAATCTTGTGATAACGTTCCCACAGGTCAAGCACCCTGTATCCGTGAACAAGTCCTGCCTCGTTGTCAATAAAAAGCAAATCTCCATTGACTGTTTTGAGAAGGTTATTAGTGGTCCTCTCCATTACGCGCGCGTCCCACTGGAGGCTGAAAATATGACTGACGATTCGATCAAAGTTGGCCGTTAAATAATCAAAGAGGATTAAATCGCCCCACTGCATCAGTTCGAGCAGATATGATAAAGTCATGTTCGAGAGACTCTCAGCAGAAAGTTGCTGCTGTTTTTGTAAATGAGCTGGAATAAACACTCCTGTGACATTTGGGATGAACTCGGTGAGAGACACGATGGCATTTGGCGACCATTCTAACACCTCGATATTTTCCCGGACACTTGCCCACTGCTCACTGGACAGGTTCAGTTTGGAAAGCGACAAGGGCGGAAGGTTGGAAATCCCAAGCAGCTCCGCCAGATAATAGGAGAGCGTTTCGCCCAGCACTTGATCCGCGTCGATGCCATACCGCACGCATGCTCTAGTGCCGTCGGCGAAGCTTGCGAGGCGGTTTGTGGGTCTGCCGCAGCCCGCTTCCAGTGCCACCACCCGAGCGTCCCGAACCCGCTCTCTCCACTTCCTCTCGTGCTCCACGCCAAAAACACGAGTGGCTAGAGCTTCAAGCCACGCGCTCCAGAACACCCGCTGCTCAATCACGTTATCCAGAATCAACGCAGAGCGAATATTAAAACTTTTTGCACCGCGCATACCTGGTGCGTTTATCTCCGTATTGTTTACCTGATTATTTGCAACAGAGAACAAAACTCCTCGATCTGTGTCTTGTTGAACAAATACGGACAAAAGGTGCAACTTCACATTCCCAATCCAGGTAACTATTCCAAGCCACACGCAAAGCGACGCGCATAATTTCACCTTGCCGGCTTTCATGATTACTAAACGCATTTTAGCTCATTCCGCTTTCCATTTAGCCTTTCACACCATAGAGTCTTCCATGGTTGATGTTTCAGTGCAGTTTTAATGAATTCTCCTCTTCAGGGCGGTGTTCTCTGCCTCTCCACTCCTCTCTTCTGCTCCCAAACTCTTTCTGTGTTCCGCTGCCACCGCATGGACGTCAACCATGTGACCAGATCATGAGACTTCACTAATATCGTCTCATATTTCTCCAGGGAGAATGCACATGAGTCGACGAAAACTGAGTGTTTCGAGATGTTTAAACCTTTCAGGTAAATGCACGTGGGGCTATGCTGCTTTGTTATATTTACAGGTTCGTCTGTCAGCAGAAGATGTTTATTTGCACTATGATTGAACGCCTCAAGGGTCTCAAGCGAAATACATGGCGTGATTAGTTGGTGGGTTGTTCCTTTACAGCTGAACTGAATTACCAGGAGGATGTACACATAAACGAATAGAACAGTTATTTTGATAAATAGATACTGCGTCCCAATTCGCATACTTATACTACACTCTAAAAGTGTACTTTTTTTTTTAAGGAAAATACGTCCCCCTCCTTTTTAGAGACAGACCAGTTAGAAACAAGTAATTAGGAATGCAAACTTCTGGATTTCATACAGCTGTCCTCCCCTATTTTTACAATGTACACTACGCCCCTGCTTTTGAGTGTGTAACAGAAGAGCATGCAAGCTTTGGGACATACTACATCCTTGTTAATGAATCATCGTGTTGCTTAATTATGACTCTTGTCAATCATCCACACATCATCCACATTTCTGTCATATTTAATGTGCTACCTTATTGGAGAAGCAGCAGCAGATTAAGCTCTCATTCACGCGTCTTTTATGCAGAGAAATCTCCTTAGGTCTTTGGATAATTATGCATTCCGGAGTTAATGTCCAAACACGTCTTTATATATGTTCAGTATTGTTGTTGCAGATAAAATATAACACAGAAACACAATTTAAATATTTTCCAGTTGGCTAGATAATAATTAACAGTCATACAAACATCTTTAACAAAGCCTCTCTCTACTTGGCGGTTGGTCTTGTGGATCCGCCATGTTTGTAGTTTATTTACACTTTTCACCCACATTTGAAGTTCTAATTGAGTTCAGGTCAATGCACAATGTGCATTATCAGCGGTTAGAGTATGGACGCTTCTACACTTTTACCCTACAATGTAGCTAATCCATGTGACTATATCACTTCAAACATACGCTGCGTCCAAATTTGCATAATATCCATACGAAATAGTATTTGAAAATAGAATTAGTATGTCCCGAAACCATAGTATGTTAAAAAGAGTATGCCAATGGTTACCAGATGATTTACTGTCTCCAGTAAAACTTTTAACCTTGCATTCACACGGGCTTCAGCGTCAATGCAATGTTCATCGTTGCCGAACTAAATTGTGGATCCAACGGCGCTGCTTCAGTGGTGTTGCTCGCTGCAGAAGTTGGGAACTTTTCAACTTTTTAAATGCCAATGGAAGCGTCAGCGAATCAGATCGATTTATGCAAATACCCCAGCTTATACAGTAGCCGATTGTGGACTAATTTCATTGGCTGTTGCTGCTATGACGATTACGTCAGCTTCAACTTCAGACACGCCCTCGGTCAAGCGTTGACGCTGAAGCCCTGTGTGAATGCATGGTTAAAAATTTTACTGGAAATAGTAAACCATCCTGTAGCCTTTGTCATACTTATTCAAACATACTATGGTTTGGGATGTACTAATTAAATTTTTAAATACTGTTTAGGATGGATAGTACGCAAATTAGAACGCAGCATATGTTTGAAGTGATATAGTCCCATGGATTAGCTACATCGTATTATGTGAATCTAATATCATACTATATTTGTTTGCATGTTTTGTTTGGCAAACTTTCCAGTTATGTATCAGACTTAACAGCAAATTTTCCTTAATCACTTAACTGCACATTTGGTTAAAGTTACACTCAACCCTGTAAAAAAAAAACGCATTTCACACTAGTAATTTTAGTCAAAAGTTCCATATTTAGACCGTGATCAGTTTTACATGGACAGGTGGGGTAATTAGCACCAGTTATTTTAGTCTCATATAATGTTTCATGTCAGTAATTATTACTAAGAGTGTCAATAAATATTACAGCGACTTTTACCAAAAAAAAAAAAATACTTAAAGTATTGTTAACAGCAGTCAGGGGCGGACTTAGGGTGCTTTCACACCTGTGAATCGATTCAGTTGTTCCGAAACAGAGATTACTTGTTACATTGTTGCTCTTTGCTCTTGGAGCGGTTCGCTTTCACACTGCAAAGTTTCTAAACAGACCAAAAGAGCTAAAACAAGTCATGTGCGAGTAAACTCTCCTCACATTGGTCAGAGTGTCAGGGTTTATTTTGCAGCGTCCCGCTCAGCTGTCAGGAGAGGTGGTGGTTTGGTGGTGATTGACAGGGTGCGCGCGCTACGTGTCTGAGGAGAGACACGGTGGGGAGGGGTGAGAAGGGTGCGCGACGATGCCTATTTGAGGGAGGGAGAGGCAAGATTACCGGGAGATCATCACTCGTTTGCGGGCATCCGGAGACTCGCAAAACTTCCCGCCCTACTCATAATTCTCTCTTCATATAGCCGTAAGCCTATTACGTATGCATAAAACACTGTGATATAACCGCGCTCGGATCGGATCGCTTTCTCACTGCAATCGAACCGCTCCAGGGTTCGTTTCAATCGAGCCGAGACCACCTCATTCAAGCGATCTCGGAGCGATTACTTTGGCGCGGAACAGAGCGCGATTGCCCTGTTCACATATGCCAAACGAACCGCGCTAACTGGGCAAACGAGATACGTTCCGAAACAAACGTGTAGGTGTGAAAGCACCCTTAAACAATAAGCAAGGTAGGCAGCTGCTTAGAGCCCTGGGAAGTTTAGGGCCCTGACCAATGGCAAGAATTGCCTAATATAGTTCATTTATAAATTTTCTATCATATGTTGTAAAATCTGTCTATAACCATTAAGATTTTAAAGTTATTCTTTTTAAAACCGGGGACCCCCATGAATAATCTAATTTTCCACATGTACTGCACATGCAAACATTACAATATAATCACAAATATGGCTTATTAACTGTACATACAGTTAGTTTGTGAACTGTTTTTTATTTAATTTTACATTTAGATAAAGGTTCCACTTAAAATGTATTTTCAACATGCAGTTTGTTTAAAAAAATAAATTAATATATATATTAAAAAACAAAAGCAGCTTTTAATAAAAAAAAATGGGTTAAAAAATTCTCTGTTAAACAGAAATTGAGAAAAAAATAAACAGGGGGGCTAATAATTCAGGGGGGCTAATTATTCTGACTTCAACTGTGTATATATCTATAAAGAAAGAGAATGTTTCAGTGCTTTGGCCCTATACCTGGAATTGCTTAGGGCCCCCATATCATTAAGCACTTCCCTGACTGTAGTACAGTATGTGTGTTTGTGTGTGTGTGTGTGTTTGTGTGTGTGTTTAAGCATAGAGGCTGTTGAAGAACATTCAGTTGCATATTCTATAACAGTGGGAGATATCTGTGGCAAATTTTACATTCTCACGTAAAAGGAGTCACTCCTCCCACTTCTGGCAGTTTTACTGAGATGTCTTATCCCTTGTGAATTGGCCATTAATATTACAGGCATCCTCTGCTAAAATCGCATTACTCCATCTATGCGTGTATTCCCTTCTGAATAGGGCTAAAGCTAATCAGAAGGCTTTTATCTTACATGAAGTGCATTTCTGAACTCCATATGTCTCCCCATATTGACATTACATAACAAATTTAAATTGCCGTCAAATTACATATTTACAAGTGAAACACTATCTATAAAATCGATCATACATAATACATAGCTGCAATTTTTGTTTTAAATAAGTCAGGTGCAGACATTTGTAACTTTGATTTTGGGTGTATTGTTCAAAATATAATTCTTTATTTTCATGTTTAAATTTAGTTAAATTTCTGAGTTTAAAAAAGTTACATGCTGCAATAAAAAAGCAACCAAAGACTTACCGTGCCTTCAAAAACAAATCGAAAAGAATAAAATAGCAAACGCCCAGCTTAGAGGTACTGTATAATATAATCTCCAAGGTGCAGCTTAAGGCATTTTTAATTCTGCAATTTATAATTTATAATGTTTCATTTATATATTTATTTCAGCAAGTGCTCAAGGAATTTTAATAATAAATATATATATATATATAAAAAATATGCAAATCAACTGAATCCGAGTAAACAGGATAATCCAATGTGATGATATGAATGAGTTTTTGTTCGACCAGACACTATAAACAGTAAAATTGAGGGGAAAATAAAAAGCTCCAAACATGCAGTCCCCTCTGGAGTCACGAGGCAAACTGCAATGATCTTTAGCTCTCACACACCACAGATTGGGAATAAATGTCTGGACATCAAGAGCCAAGCATAAACACATGATGGTAACAGCTGCCATGCTGCAAAATGCATCCAACACAATGAGAGCTCATAGCAGACTATTGCAATTCAAAAAGCAGGCTTTTACCAGCACAAATATGTGTAAGTAAAAGTAAAACTGAATGCAAGTATGTCTATTTTATACTGCAGAATAATGTAGCCACTTTTATGATATGGTAGTTTTTGCAAAGGAGGTCACACTTTATTGTGATGGTCCGTTTGTTGAATTTAAGTTACATTGCATCTACATACAACTAATTCTCATTAGATTTTAAGTGGACTGTTAGGTTGGGGTTAGTGTATGTTGACATGTACTTGCAAAGTTTCTTATAGTCAGTTAAATGTCTGTTGAAGGAGCAGTAACATATATCAAGCAGACAGTCTACTAATACTCAAATGCACCATCAAAATAAAGTGTTACCGCAAAGGATAACAAGATTCAACTGAAAACCCTTCTGAATCTACATTTAACAGCATTTTAACAGTAATAAACAGTGCTGTCATAATTATTGTGGTATTATCACAGCAGCTTTATGGGTGGTTTTATCATGCCTGAGCTGATCTGGCCTACTGTCATTCTGTTTTGACTTGTTACTTATTACTTGAATGCACTGCCAGACATACAGCTGGTCAGCTCATGTTCCCAAAATGTCTGGCATGGATCATGAAAAAGCTGCAGGTGTT